CTAAACCCTAAACCCTAGGGTTCATGTTCGGGTTTGGGGCGTCGGGTGCACGGGTCTGGCATCCATCCTCTCCAAACCTTCAGAAGCTGCGGCCCGCCGGTTTAGGGGCTGAGTTTAGGCTTTAGGGGTGAAATCCCTAAACCCTAAACCCCAANNTAACTGAATCAGGCAGGTGGAAAAGAGGTGACACAACAAAAACCCTAAACCCGAAACCTCATGTCCAGGTAGCTGCCAGCTCTTACGCTTCTGCTGCAAAGGAGCTGGCCGATGAGGAGCCTCAGCCCGAGCCCAGCCCTAAACCCTAAGCCCTAAACCCTAAACCCCAAACCCTAAACCCGTCCCCACTTCTTCTCGTTGCCTGAGCTCCTGCCTCATGCCTCAACCAACCTGGTATTCCGGACTCCTAATCAGGCGAAGGAAAAGAGGTGATAAAAACAAACCCTAAACCCGAAAGTCTAGCCCTCAACCCCAGACCCCTGACATGCCAGCTGTCTCGGGCAGACGCCCGCGTCTTGGTTGTCAGGAGAAGGCCGACGAGGGGCAGTTTCAGCAGTTCGTGGCGGAGACCCGGAAGGACACAGTCCAGTCCCGTTTGGGGTTTCGGGCCTAGCCAGGTCAGGGTTTACAGGTTGCAGGAACAAAGGGGTTTTCGAGGTTCAGGAAAGACTTGCAAGAGCAGTGTGTGTGTGTGTGTGTGTGTGTGAAAGTCATCCTGTTCTGCTCTTATGCTATTGTGGCTATGTGGGTTAAGAGCGCATGCATTCCCCATGGCGACTCCTATTCAGCCCGTTTTTTCTGTCTTGCGCATGCTAGGGAACCACGCCCGCCATTTGTCGAAGCTGTGCAGCCAGCAACTGCGTAACTACGCACCTCAGTCGTCTTCAGAACGATAGCTCTGAGATCAAGAAGGCCTCCATTTAGACTCCAACTCCTAACTCCCAGCCACCGGCTCGAATGGCAGGACATAGAGATCAAGAGTCGCGAGATGGCACACAAGCAGGCCACCGTCCAGAGCAACTGCCTGACGCATGGGCCATGTAAAACGACCGCCGCCAATGCCAGGATCGGCGCGAACGCAAGCAAAGGTTCCTGAAGCAGGGCGAGGCTTGGCCTTGGACTAGAAGAGTCTAAGAGGGCTAAACCCTAAACCCTAAACCCCAAACCAGCTACGGCTTTGCTTCCTCCTGCACCATTCCGAGTTGGGTGTGTGCGTCACGGTTAGGGCAGAAGACGTATCCACAGCAGCGTCTTGGCCAAGTAAGCCACAGAGGACGTTGGAACCTCAGGTTGGTCCCAAGGTCTGAATACTTGGAGGTTCATGGGTAGTTATAAGTAGGGTTATAAGTCCCCCAATATGGGTTATAATCATAGTTACCCTACTTATAACCCTACTTATAACCTACTAATAACTACCCATGAACCTCCAAGTGAATATCTCAGGGAACTATCACACCTCTGCGTCGCGTTTTGTTTTACAGCCCGGAAGGTCCGGATGCAGCGGCTACCGGGGCTTGGTTTGTTGTGCAACTCCGGCCCTGGAGGGGGGGAAACTTTTCAACTCATCCGACACCTCTCACAGCTCGGATCCAACATGGGCTGCTTCCAGGCAACTCCTGGAGTAAAAGGCAGCTCCTGAAGCCTACTTGGAGGTTCATGGGTAGTTATAAGTAGGGTTATAAGTAGGGTAACTATAACTATAACCCATACTAGGGGACTTATAACCCCACTTATCACTACCCATGAACCTCCAAGTAACCCCAAAGCCGAAGCCCCTGTACCCAAAGCCCTACATCCCAAGCCCCTCGAAAGATGTCCAAGTAATCCGAAAGCCGAAACTTGAAGCTCGAACCCCCCAAGCCCAATGTGGGGTTTTTGTGCAATCCATCAAGGAAGAAAGTCCTTACAGTAACCCTAAACCCTAAACCCTAAACCCTAAACCCTAAACCCTAAACCCTAAACCCTAAACCCTAAACCCGAAACCCTATCCCTACTTAGTCAACGCTGTTATCGGCATCCCTAAGCCCTGGAAGGCCGAGCTGGCAACGTCGAGCGACAAGTGCGCCGAGTGGGTCTAACAGTTCAGGTTCAGGGGCTCGCTGGTTTAGGTTTTAGGGTTTAGGGTTTAGGTTTTAGGGTTTAGGGTTTAGGGTTAAGGGTTTAGGGTTTAGGGTTTAGGGTTTAAGGTTTCTAAACCCTAAACCTTCATAGTCTTTACCAAGGTAGGATTCCTGAGCCGGTACTCAAGCAGACGGAAAGAGGCCGTCAAAACAACAACCTTCATAGCCCTTGCTGTTAAGTAGAAGGTGGAAGGGGCGGCTGGGGGTCGCGGCTGCAGCTATTTTCAAAAAGGGCCACGTGCCGAAGATCGTAAACTCGTTTTTGGGATCTCCGAAGTCTGGCAAAGACAGGGATTTTTCGTCTCGTGGGGATCTGCACTGCCAGGTTGGCAAAGATTGCGGAGTACCTGGAGAAGCTGGAAAGCCAGTGCAAGGCGAGCGGATTTTGGACTTTGATTTGCCACTCCAAGCTTCCGAACAAAGCCTTTTACCCCAAACTGAGGGCCCGTTGCACAGACATCGGGGGTGGTTCACACTCTGCGCCAGCCAGAAAAGGAGCATAGTCGGAACGGCCAGGCACCCGTCGTTACGCCGGAAGAGCGGCGTCAGAAGCGAGAGGAGGCCCTGGCGGTTATCGGTAGGTTAGCCCTCTTGCTTGCGTGCGTCATGAAGAGGCAGCTGTTGCAGTGTCGGTTCTAGGATGCTGCCCTCTGGAGGTACATGCATCACAGCCCTCCACCACAACCATCTTCAGGAATCCTCAGACCTCCTACTTTACCGGCATTGAAGGAAATGACGGCCTTGCAAGAAGCCCTGGCTGCCTTAGAGGACGGGAGTTGGCTCGGCAAGAAAGCATTTGTTCTAGTGCGCATGGATGTCCTTTTGACTTAGACCCGAATTTCTGGATCTTTTTTGCATCTCCCTTCTTCGGGTTCGAGCACTCGTATCGGCATAGCGCTGTCGTCGTACCTTCTTGCCGCAGCGATGGCGCAGGACGAAGGTTTGCTGCAGGCTCTGTTGACGTGTTGTGGGTTCTGCACGGCTTCGGCAGGGGTAGCACAGAGGCTCTGTAGAGACCTGCAGGGGTCAGTCAGAAGCTGCTTGCACAATCTGTGCAGTGAGGATAGGGTGGTGATTTGCATCCTTCCTCCTGAAAGGATTGACCACTTGAGCACGCACGGAGCTTTCGACACAAGGGGCGGGGGAGAGGGTTTCTTCTGTGTGAGTTCGTGTCGTCGGGTTCAGCTTTCAGCTTGCTGAAATCCCAAACCCCAAGACTAAACCTAAGCTATGAGCGCCGAAACAGATGGCCTGCCTCCGACCGGCAGCACAGCATGCGAAACCAAATGTAGGGCTCTTGATTCGGCAGCTGCAGCTGCAGAGTTTCCAAAAGCTGAAGGTTTATCTCAGCCATGGGTGAGATGAGCTCGACATGAGTCATGTCTCGTCGAGATACCACGATGCAGATGCAGGAGTTCTCGCTGTCCGAGTCGCATGAAGTAAGTTCTCTGGTGGCATCACTGGCCCCCGCTTGTCGAATCGAGTCATGGGGGACAAAGTAGAGTCGTCCATAGCATGCAGATTTCAGCTTGACACAATCAAGGGCGCCAAGTGCTCGCGCTGCCTTTCATTCTGGCCTGAGCCCTTCCCCACCCAAGCTGAGGAAGTTTTGGCCGCACGTCTGCGCATGCATCTCACGGACATGTTTGGACCGTCCCTCGCGCGGAAAGCCAATGTCTCGTGGATGCTGGACGGCCTACAAGTCGAGCATTGGAGAACTTTCGAAAAGGATGTTCTAGGGAAAACTTGCAAACCCGTCAAGTTAGGTGTAGATTACGTCAGGTCGCAAGCAGCTCCGGTGTGTCTGAATTGGCGCAGCATTGACTTGAACTTGATGTGCCTGAGCTCTCGCATTCATGTGGTGATTGGTGGTACAGAGTTGCTGGCGCCCTACCCAGGGGAGGCAACAGCCGCAAGTTGCCTTCCTGCGCACCGGTGGCCGGGTGTGGGGCTGACTTGCTGACCAGCTAGAAAGTTGCTGGACGCCCTTTCGGCCGACGCGCAAGCGGCCATGGCGCATGACGGTGGAGCAATGTGCCAAGGTGTCCACCGGGGGCGAACAGAATGCGTCTGTCCCCAACAAGTCTACTTTAGTAGACGGAGGAGTTGGACGCGGCAGCACTGCTGGAAGGGAAGGCCTTGTCAGATCCTTTAGCGTCCCAGCATGCGCTCGGAAATGCTGCATGTCGTGGAGCTTTCGGGGCGCGGCGTATCCTTCGCTTTGCTGGTAGCCTTTGCACACGAGTGGGCATGGTGACTTAGGCACGCACTTGGTTTCCGCGAATCTGCGCGAAGGGTTTGGCAACTGTGATGATTGGGCGAGATTGAAAAGCCTGATCTCAGGAGGTGTCCGAGTGAGACTCCGACTCACCTCAGCCGAGCTGCAGTTTCACGCTAGCCGCTAGACAGGGAGCCTCCCGCCCGCAGGCATGGCGAAATGTTGAACTTCTGCAGGATGTTGAGACATTTAGCAACTTTAGCAACTTGACAGTGGCTCGCTGCCTTCTCTTGCCTTTGCACTCAGCCTTCCGCCGCTCCTCCGCAGCGTGCTGGTTCAGTGAAGAGTTGCCAGTGATACAAGTCCTTCACGGCCAGGCTTCAGGGCTGCGCCATCTGCGCCACAGCAGCCACTCCCAAGTCAACCAAGCCACTTCAACCACGCCACCGCAGGGATTTTCAGGCATCTGTCCAGGTCAACCGCTGCCAAGGGAAGCCTGGGGCCAACCTGTTCAGAGGCCTGGCTTTGTTCAAAGATGTCTGCGGCTTCGTCCGAAATCCCTCGCCCGACAGGCGATGACCCTTGGCCTGCAATGGATCGTGGACAAGCCTCTTGGCTGGTTGCAGATTCAGTCGGGTTCCGCTTCCTGTGAGGGGTTCTGGTGCATGAAGCAGACGCGCTTGTGGCCATGGGGTCAACCTGCATGAGGACTGAGGGACTTCGACCCATGTCCTTTGGTCACTCTTACGAGATTCCAGACAGGGACCAACCAAGGATCACTTTCCCCTCGCCCCAGTCATCGTATTCACTTACGGCTGCACTGGCGCCATTGTGGGGGGGAGGTCAACAGGACTTCGGAATCCGTGCCAAGCAACAGGCTTAGTCTCTGCTTGATCGTGTGTGGGATGCTTTCTGTCTTCAACCAGAGAGCCATTCTTCTGCGCCCCAAGATTCTGTGCCAAGCTTTGTTCCTTTCCTGTGTCCTCCATCCGCCTGCTCGTCCATTTGCACACTTCGAATCAGGAAATCCAACACCCGAAGGCCTCATATGATCTCCGCAAAGGTTACACTAGAAGCTTGCGGAAGGCGTTGCTATAAGGGTCACTGTGAGGGTTACATCTCCCGACGTAAGCATACCGCCGGTGAGCGATGAAGGAACATGTAGACCTCTGATTACAGAACCCCCTCCCTGAAAGAGGCTCATAATCGGGATCTCCATAAATTCAGGCCTTAAAGACGAGGCTGAAAACAGGGATCGTAGCATCAAGCCCGTTCCAACTAGGGGTTCATCAACCAGAAGTTTACATGGGTGTTGAAGCCTCGGCCTTGTGACGCTCCTCCGCGGCCAGTCTCACCCGGAGCTCTTCTTCGTGCCCAGGGGCAAATCATCGACGCATCCAGGGGTGTGGCGCTAAGAGGGGTCCGACACTCTTTTGGAGCTGTTTGGAGCTACTTTGGTCCTGGACTTTATGGCTGCAAAGTGCATCCGAAGCTCACAAACAGCTGATGTGCGACCCTTCGGACAAATCCCTCGCAACTCAGCAATGTCCTGTGGCCAGCGGCGGTAATGAAATCTTAAACCTGCTTTTGCAGATGCTGACCCCCCCACATTGGTGCAAATGCAGCGTGAAACCACCGGGCTGTACAGCAACTCTGCACATCAACACACGCACGCACGCACATGGACACACATACTCAAGAGATTCATGAATGAACTAGCACCCCTGGTTTGTTCCAGCAGCATGCACGTATTCGTTGTGGCAGTTCAACTTCTGTGCTGCGTTTTGCCTGTTTGTTCGGCTGATTGCAGTCCATGTAAGGACACTGCTTCTCATCATACGTAGGTTCGGGCCGAAGATGCTTTTGGCGGTCCGTCTTGGCTGACTTCATGTGACCATACAAAGCCTGATCAGAGCAATCACCACCGGGGTGGTTTGAGTGTTGCTGGCCCGAAACTTCGGCTGATCATCTAATTCAAACATATTCTCAAGAAGCGGAACTCGCACGTGTTCGCTGCCGGTTCGGCGCAGCCTTTCGGGCTCTTGGCTTCGGTTCTCACGGCCTGTGAAGAGACAGTGTCGGGAGCACCGCAGCATCACAATCTCAGTTGTGTGCTTCTTGTCGACTGTTTCCGGTGTCAGACTGCCATCCTCAAACGCCTTGTGGTATGTTTGCTGCCCCATCAAGTGACCGTGTTTTTCTACATGAATTTTAATTATCTTGCCTCGTCAAGTGACGGTGTTTTTCTGCATGAACTCGGATTCTGTTTCGGTTGCCGCGAGTTGTGAAAGCAACTACGAGCTGCATCACAAGTGGGGTCTGCTGGCTTTTTCGTTTCCGCCGGCTCGCCTTAACCGACTGCGGGGAAGACCGAAAGCTTTGCAAGTCGGCTCAAGATGAGCGAGATCCTGAACAGAAAGCAAGCCGGCAAGGCACAGGTGATTCTTCGAGTTGCGCCGAGCAGGGGTGAGTCAGATGATGAAGTCTGATGAAGGACTAGCAGCTACCGGTGGAGGAAGGGAATCCCAGCTCCAGGGAAGTGCAGCTCGCTGCGAGCTTCTGTGCAACTTGCAGCTATGCCAAGATTCTGACACGAACTCTTCAGCTTGCAGGAAGCAGGCACGGAGTCAGCCCCTGCACGTCGTTGCGCCGGTTTTTTTCTACGGAACTGAGAGTGAAGCCCTATGGCCCTATGGCCTGCTGGAAGCAGACAGCTCTCGAAGCTCAAGCGGGCAGGCTTCTGAATTCTGTTTGTCGATACAAGTTGAACTGACGGATGCTTTCACAGGCAACCCTGCTCTGGAGAGTGGGGGGGGGGGGGCTATTCTTATGATTAAGGCCCCTACATTCGGTAGGCTTACATAGACTGGCCATGCCCTACACATACTTCCAGAATAGATCGAGCCAATTCCACCGAAAGTGATTCGGACTCCGCTGTCCTGTGAGGTACCCTGCATGCTCTATGCAGTAAGGCAAGGGGCTCCTGCAGCTTGGCCCGAAGTTTCAGCCGCAAGCTTCAGCTACGACTAGCTGCACTTGGCCGAAGTGCTACTTCGTTTGGGGTTTGAGGTGGTTCAGTAGCCTAGACTCAGACTCGAAGCCCGGAACAGCCATGAGAGCATAATTGAGCGATCCCAGGTTCTACTTGTGCATGCGCACAGCAATGGCTGTGACATTGGTGATATGCGGCAGACGCTGCACAGTATTTCGGAATCACTCAAGGTGCACGTCCAGCCGGCAGGTTTGTACTGCTGCTTTCGCCTGAACTTGTGCTGGTCTCCGGCAAGTGAAGTCAAGTCTTGTGCGAGACGCTGAGACAAGCAGTCTCAGCATTCAAGATCTT